TACAGAGAAAGACAATGACAATGTTCAGGATGATGAACAATAAAACCAGTCAGGGTGGTGGAGCAGTTGCCATAGCAGGAGAGACTAAAATGGCTAGGACCCCTAAGTTTGGAAAGCAGAAGGCTGAGGGGGGATATGATAGAGGTCTATAAAGTCATGAAGGGTATGGACCAAGTAAACAGGGAACTCAGTCCCAGAATACTAGAACTAGCGGGCACTTACTGAAATTAGTAGGAGACAGGTTTAACAAGAGGAATTTTTGGCAATGCGTAGTTAACTTGTGGAATTCATTGGCACAGGAGATGGTAGAGGCAGATAGCATAGCCAGGTTCAAAAGGGGACTAGAAAAATTTGTAGCAAAACCCCCAGTTTTTCTTTTTTTAAATTTTGAAATACATTCCCTCCCTTTTCCCTAACCATTTCTGACTTTCTCTCTTCCCTCTCTATCCCTTATAAGTGACTACAAGTAGTACTAGGTAAGCTAAGTGCTTGTATGCTATTATTGTAATAAGCCCCTTTTTATATTGTAAATAGTGTTCTGTTATGTTTGTATTGATTTTTACTGTTTTATATTGTTTTATATTGTATTCCTATCATCTGTGCATTGATTTTTATTGCTTTATATTAACATTGTATGATTTAGGCCTGCAATGTGTTTTGGCATGAGTGATGTCAAGTATCCATTTTGTGTGTCAGGTTTCCCATCTTGTCCCCATGTCCTGTTGTGTAAGTATGTTGCAATTATGACTCATGTTTAAGTCTGTAACCTCTCCCATGTAAATGGGTTTTCCTTGAATGCCTGAAGCAAAAGAGTGAATGGATGAGTGAAACACTATGATAGCAGGACCCCCTACTAAATCACACCCCCATCAAAACCAACACCTGGACCAACAACCCAGACATTGGAACCACCCTCCGCATTCAAGACACAAAAGATGAGGCAACCCACCATTGTGCCAAGGCTGCACATGCTCAGTATGAACATCTGGAGCCCTCTGGAACAGGGCTGACATTCCTCCCCATAGGAGATCATAGGTAGTCTGCCCCATAAAAAGGGGTAGTGAAGACTGACTCCTTGGGACGCCATCTTCACTTGGACCAG